AATCATCACATTAAATATCACGGAGAGGGGAACTCGAGCCAGGAGACGGGACATTTGCATATTACAGGAAACCGAAGGGCAACTGGACAAGGTGAAGGGGGTTGAGCCTCCAACTTATCTTCCTTGTTACTCGCTCCTTCTTCCTTTTGTAACAGTGGAGCAGTCGTTTCCTGTAGGATTCGATGTTTCGTTTTGATGGTAAATTGTTATTAGTGCTTGCTAAGGAGTCAAACTGGCTAACAGTTTTTATGCGTTTTGTGCTGTGTAACAGCGTTACAAAACGCATATTGTCAGGAAGTTGTCTGTATATGTGTATATGCATGTGTCCCACATTTTGTCCCGCACTTTCAACTCGGGAACCACAAAAGCTAGGCGGCTGAAATTTCGGCATAGTGTTACCCGCCAACGGGTGACGCGGCAAATTTAAATTCAGCCTTCCCTTACCCGCGGGTAACAGGTACGGCCCCGTGAAAGTTTTTTACGGGTAAATTAATATCTCAGGAACCACGGAGTCTAGGAGGCTGAAATTTTAGTGTAATAACCCTTGCCCATACTCAACCTTGCCTATTCAAATTCAGCGTTCCCTCGCTGTTGAGTATCATCTACGGCCTCGTGAGAATTTTGGCGGTTAAACTATTAACTCGGGAATCACGGAAAGATATTCATCCTTCAAGATTTCGAATTCAGCTTTCATACGCAGGTGCGTGAAATTTTTAAATCACGCATCCTAAGGCTCGTGAAAATTTTGGCGGATAAACTATTAATTCGGGAATCACGGAAAGATATTATCCTTCAAGGTTTCATATTCAACTCATGCGCTGGTGCGTGAAATTTTTAACTATTTTCCAATTTTTGAACTATTTTTGCATAGACAAAACTACAAAGCAGTAAGAATCATTGATAGACAATCGTTCGATGGGCTGAATCATTGATAGACAATCGTATGATCGCACCAGCAACCCTTAGTGGAGGATTGCTTATAATTAGATTAATGCGATTCCAGCGAACAGTTGTTTTTGGCACATGCTGCCACATGAGCTGCGTTCGAATGATACTGCTCTTTTTTTCTGGTACTGAGTTAAATAGCCTTTTTAACTCATTTTTTGCTGTTTAACGCTTTAATTTCCTGACTAATATTCGTGCTGGTTTGACTAAAGATTCAGCATCCTTTTGGCCAGCTTCTTAGTCTTCCGACTTGTCTTTTGCAGAGCCTGTCTATTCACTTATTATGCGTTTTTTTGCAGCTATGCAATGCAAAAACGCATATTGTCGACGAGTTGTCTGTGTGTGTCTGTATGTATATGTGTGTCTGTGTGCGCCTGTAACGAGTTTTCATCTCGAGATCCACAAAAGCTACAAGGCTAAAAATTTGATGACTTAATCTACACACACGTGCGGGCTCGTGTCAAAATGAGCGCTCAGGTCCGCTTGGTTCTCACGTAGGAGCACGTGAAAGTTTTTTGTTGGCGAGAAAGCATTTTTGGGGACGGCACATGCTAGGAGGCTGAAACTTCACGGAGTTGTTCCTTGGCCGCGTCTAATCCAAAGATTTCAAATTCATCCTTCACACACCCTCAGGACTCACGTATGCACACGTCAAAGTTTAAACTGGCATCATGCCAACTCCAGATTTAAAGTGATTAATAAGTTGCAGGGAGCTGCAATTCTGCAGCGTTACTTGTTGCCCACTGTTGTATCCGTGAAAGTAAATTACTTGTCAGCTGTTCTGCATCTTACGTATGAACACGTGAGAATTTCACGCATGCGCTTTTGTAACTTTAGAACTGAACCAGCCAGAGGCCCTGAACTTTCTGAGCATAACTGATGGCGGCCAGATGGATGCAAAAACGAATTACACAACATTTTCACGTCTCACGTACGTTTCACGTGTACACACGTGGAATTTGATGCAACTCCGCATCTAGAGCAGCTGGAATGCTGAAGTTTTCTGAGCGTTACCCAGGGCTGTGTTTGAGTAACCGCGAGCGAAGAAAACATTCACGTTGCCACTCACGTGCGAGCACGTGAATTTTGACGTAACTCTGCAACCAGAGCAGCTGGAGTGCTGAAACTTTCTGAGCGCTACCCAGGACAGTGCTTGATTAACCGTGGATGAAAAAAACACTTGCGTTGCCACTCACGTACGAGCACGTGAAATTTGGCGTAACTCCGCAACCGAAGCATCCAGAGCGCTGAATTTTTTGGGGCATGGATTGGAAGTCATTGTAAAAATTTCTAACAGCCGTGGTGGCCGGTCACAATTCTTTTAGCTAGAAGCATCTGCCGGGAAGAGCGTGCCACTGGCGAAAAAAAAACCTGCGGGGGAGCTGGGCAAAAAACGCATCCTCGTACCGGCAGCCGGTACACTTTCGATTAAGTTTTTTTCATGTTTTTATCCGCCTGTGGCGATTTTCCGATTCCTCTGCTCGAAAGGATATCCCTTTTCTTTTCCCTGACCTCCTCAACATCTTCATCCTTGTCTGAATGCACTACTCATTCGTCTCATTTTATGCATTTGTTCTGCACCAGTGCAAGTCCAGAAGCTCACTGTAATGGCACGCTGTATCGTTTCTTGCTCCTTGTGTGTTTGTTTTTATTCGTCGACGGCTGAAATGGGACGTGAACATTATCAACGAGGCTGTGTCAATGCGGTTTTGGGGTGTTGTGCTGTTCTGCAAACCTTTTTCGGTGAAACACTATCATACCTGCAGTGGGCTTAATTATCCAGACTCTATCATAAATGGTTGCACAAATCAATAGTATGATACAGCATCGACTAAATAAAATATGGCCGATGAGATGCATTACATGAGATGCATTACATTGCATTCCTTATCATCTGGATAATGCTTAAAATCAATAACAAACTAGACAAAGACTTCCGTTCCTTTTCATCCACACTGTGCTCAGCTAGCGTCAAAACCCTGGGGTGAGGTGAAAATGTGCGTGCGATAAATTGAGTCAAGATGCATGCTGCATAGCAGAAGCGGTATGGCAGTTGAATCAGCTGGAAAATGTTAACTGCGCAGAATAGCGAAAATGCATCCTTGTGATATCATATTTAAGCAGAAAAGTTGCTGGAAAACGATTTACTTCATATCAAAATTTGAATTGAAATTTTTCGTACGTTACTTGTATTGACTTTCTGTCTTGAACCTGTTCATTTCTCCTTAGAGGCCTTATATTTGGCCTCAAATGGCAAGAATCTATATAATTGTTGGCACCTACGTGCCACATTTTTTTTTTCGCTTGCTAAATGTCGCGTATTTTCCGGAAAAAGGGAGG